ACATTCATCTATATTTTTGTATTTTTTTTAAGGTTTAGTTTAATGTGAGTGTTACCAGAAACTCTGGTTTCTCTTCAGATTGTGTGAACCTTCTTCAGGCATCTAACCAGGCTACTCTTCCTCTGCACTTCTGGCTTTTTTAGAGTGAAGGTGTTTTAAATTTTGTATGACATTAGATAAAGTGAAAGCATTCTTAAAGCCTTGTTTTGGCAATATACAACCAGATCCTGCTCGCTTTACTCAGATGTGGTCCTGTGTGAGGATTGAATAATATATAATATCAGTGGCTGCATATATATATTAAATCCTCACACAGGACCACATCTGAGTAAAGCGAGCAGGATCTGGTTGTATATTGCCAAAACAAGGCTTTAAGAATGCTTTCACTTTATCTAATGTCATACAAAAATTAAAACACCTTCACTCTAAAAGAGCCAGACATTTATGCAGAACATACCAGACACATTCTTTATATACAATAGTGATTCCAGACAAATGGTTAAGATAAATACTCTTATTTACACTCACCAACAGTCAACTGCTAACATAAGCTTGGAGGTAGTGCCTGCATACATTTTTTTTTTGTATTGCATTCAGATGCCTTCTTCCACTTGTCATATTACTCAAGCAGTATTGCATCCTTTACTTACACAAGTAGTCTGAGCTGTAAGATTGCTCATATGACTATACCGGCAGCAAAGACCTGTGAGTTTGGGGGGGTTTTTTTGCCTTCCAGCACTTCCTGTGAGTGTTCCTTCCTCATTCATTCATCAAAGGTTCTTTCTTTGGTACTGTCAGTGGCTGCATAATTCCATTTACATCAATAACGAAGTTGTATATAAACAACAATAGAAAATGGTCTTGAGTGTCCTGCACTAGAAAAATTAAAATGCCTTTGCATTGGAAGAAACAATATTGAAGCAAGCAAGCAACCAACCAAAAAAATTCTAGCAGTTTAAATAGATACAGCAACTAGCTTCAGTATAGATACTACAGATGTCTTCACCTAAACTTGGTCAATTTTTATCCTTAGTTATTTTTGTTAAATAAAGTGATGGTAAGAATACATATAAAATATATAACACATATATGCATATAATACAGACACATACGTAAGTTAAAATAGACCATAGTCTCAGATGGAGCCATGTCATAATCACTCAAAATTTTAACAATTTTTTTACCATTGAGGTGTTATTTGTCTCCATGGATGGGTTAAATCCCATTGTCCAACCTACATAAATGCCCCCTGAATATGATAGATTCCAATACATACTGTAAAAATGTGAAAAATATCTGGGGGGTTTTCAACTGTGTGTTCTGGCTCCTCTTACTCATGATAGGTGCTATAAATGTGAGGAACATTAGCATATTGACCAGGCCAGCATATCAGGCCAGCATTAGGAAAACGTGATGAATCCGAACACAAGCATAATGAATAAATGAGACAGAACACAACTTGGCCTGGAGAAGTCTGAATAGATTCCAAAATATATTTTACGCCTCCTTCCAATTCCATTATAATGTAAAATGTGAATATCAGGAGTTCTGAAATTCCACCAATTGGGGACAAGGGTGGAGCCTTCTATTTGAGCTGGGCTTTAAGGAATCCTGGTTCTAAATACAAGTAAGGCATTAGGTGGAGCCTGGTGATCCTATATACAGGCAGTCCCCGGGTTACGTACAAGATAGGGACTGTAGGTTTGTTCTTAAGTTGAATTTGTATGTAAGTCGGAACTGGTACATATTGTAGGGGAAACTCTAGCCAAACATTTCTCCAGAGCTCAGTTTTATTCTCCCACACCTCACTTCCCTCAGTCCTTTATTCTCAAGCTGAGGTGTCTGCTGAGAAAAGCCACTCCACGTCTCCCTGGTCTGCTGGGGGGAAGCAGCTAGTGCGGGGTTGCCTCACCCCGTTTGTAAGTAGGGATCCGATGTAAGTCGGATCCATGTAACCCGGGGACTGCCTGTAGACCCATGGGTTATGACTCACAGCAAGAGTGAGTCTGTGGCACTAGTTCCTTTCTTAATGATTGGTGGGGTGGGGCAAACATGCTGCACTCTGTTGTGGGGTGTATCAGGCTTCGATGTCACAAAGGTGGCGTTCTTACAGTGAGATAATTTAACCCTGGATAATTATCTCACTGTAAATTCCTGAGTGGAGAAAAGGCATTTGCAGTGTTTATTGTGAGTTAGCTAGGTGATATGCACCCTGCCCATGGTCGACCTTGTCTTGTTTACTTGTGATAAAACTGAAGTGCCTTGTCTCCACTGCAGCATAGCTAACACATCTGGTATTTCCAAAGTTAAAAAATATATATATTCTTTTTGGCTGAGAAGACAAAGCCTCAGAGGCCTCTCCTTCAGGCATCCCTCCATCTTAGCGAGAGGAATCTATCTGACCGTTTGCAATAGGCAGATTGCCCATAGAGTTGCTGCTGCTAACCACAATCACATAAAGGTGAGAATAGCTAAGTGGCCATAATCTGGATATACAAACTCATTCATTATTGCTTCTTTAATGAGAAAACAGAAAATAGGATGGGATAGAAATTTAAGTGGTTAAAACAGGCGAATAACTTATTTTTGTGATTAGGATTTTAGATGGATAGAAATCATTCTCATTCATATACAAAGAGCATTTATTTGGTCAAGAATTCCTCCTAAATGGTAAGAGGTAGGACTACTGAATTTGGTATACATCTTCCTCTTATCATAACTTAAGGCAAGGGTAGGGCTCGGTTGTGCCAGGAAAATAGTTTGGGTCTAGAATGGGATTACTTCTCACAATGCTGGTTGTTCCCCTTCATCAGGGACCAAGGGGAAAGTGCATAGTTTGCTGCATTTCTTACTCTAGCTTGGGAGTGAAGGGGGCAGACAAACCCGGACCTGCCCCAGATGAGAGACATGCACCCTTCTGCAGGCTATGCCTGCTGGAGCTGTGGCAGCCATGGAGAGGTGCTTCTCACCTCGTCCCAAACTGCTGCAATGAGAGAAGGCTTGGGTAGTCTTTGCTACCCAGTTCAGCCTGCACACTGAACCCCTCATCCCCAGCCTCCCCTAGAGCAATAATTTAAATGAAGAAAAACAAAAATTAAGGAGCCAAGCAACGTCAGGCAAATTTGTATTTTATATAAACCAAATTCTGATTCCTTTACAGTGTGAGGCTTATATTTATTATTATTTATATTAGAAGATTTACCTGGTATTGCCTGGCCCCTTCAGGGCAGAGGGGGCTAGTGGTGTGTATAGGCGGGTGTAGGAGTTGAGGCATGGTTTTGGGGATGTGAGGGGCTCGGGGCAGGAGCCTAGAGATGTCAGGGTTGGGGGTTTGAGGTACACATTTGTGAAGTGACTTGCCTAATAACACACAGCAGATCAGTGGCAGATCTGGACATTGAAGCCAGTGTCCTGTTCATTGAGACATATTGCAGTTGTGAGGAAAGAGTACAGTTAGTGACATTAATTGTTATTTGTGTGCACTTGTAATAGATGTGCAATTGATTATAGCAGTTCTGAATTTGATTATTATGGCAAATCCTGGTCCCACCAAAATGAAAGGAAGATTATTAATAACCTAAATAAAACCTGCATTCAATCCTTAGTACATTGCAGTCTTGATGTACTGGACAAGCTTGAATAAGATGCAAATCTTTCATTTTTCTCTTTCTTTAATTAAAATGAAAGATTCATTACTTAGTTGTAGGGACAGCTTGGCCTGTAAGGACTGCTAACAGCTGCATGTAGAGAGCACTACAAGAAGATGGGTGGTCCTAAAGCCTGAATTTCTCTGCAGCAATGGGTCTTGTATATTGCGCAGTTACGGTACAAATATAGCTTTGAATATTGAGAGAAGAGGACAAGACTCTTATGAAAATGTGGCCTTAATAAGAAGGGTCTAAATTATCCATTTTTATATTAAAATCTGGAATCTGGGTGTGTGGGTGTGGATAGAGGAATTTTCAGAGAGGATCCCTCACAGAGTTTATCACCTGTGAGAATTGTGTTTGGTCTTCCATGGAATTGGCTACAAGGCTCACCCCAATCCATAGAGCTCCCCCTGATTTATAGCAAATCCAATGTACCTGGCAGGAAGCTTGATTGGAGCCAGACTACCCGGAACTCGTCATGTCTGCAGGTATCTCTCAAGTATGATTGCAGGGGAAGGGGAAGATGGAAAATAGTGAAGTCCCAGACTGTACTGTCTTTCCATGGAATAACCAGTGGGCCTGTCCCACAACTACCCAGCCTTCTCTCATTCTTCAGTGTGAACCCTAGACTACACAAAGCATCTTCAGTGGGATCTGGAACAAAAGTGGAATGGTGCTATGGAGGAGGCCAACGCCCACCTTCTTCCATGCAGGAAGGGTAAAGTTAGAATCAGAGGGTGCCCGGATATGGAGGGGGATTTTGTCTGATTTAAGATTTTTTTACACAGCCTATCCATCATAATCCCTTTTTTAGGGTTCAACCCTGTGAAGGCTGAGCATGCTGGCTCAAATTGAAACAAAGCTCTAAAGCATAAGCTTAACATTCAGGATATAAGACACCTCATGGAAGTTAAGCACTTTGTTGCAATCACGCTCAAAGTGCTCAGTGCGTTGCAGGGCTGAGCCAGTTATTGATAAACACTGATAACCTGTTGTAGCTGGAAATGAGTTATACTGTAGCTTGAGATTTGTAAAATTTAGATGCTGTTTCATAATGAAAAATTGTTCAACGACAAGCACTCAGACATAAGTACATGTTTAAACTATGCAAAGAGAAAATGCAGGGTGTGTGAAAATAGGTGTTGCTATTGTAAATTCTTAGTCATTGTTACAACAGAGAAAAGTGCTAAATGTTTGACATTCTCAAAAGTTCTATTATTAGGCATAGGTGGGGCAATCCTCCGTGATAATCTTGAGGGTACCTCTTATGCCTAGAACATTTCAACAACTAAGTAAAGTGCCTGTTTGTAATTGATACTTATTGTAACATTGCCCATTTATTACTGCTAGGTATAAGGAATTGAAAACAACTGCTGTTTTGTCAAGATGGAAAACAACACAACTACAATCTCTCGTGAAGAGCTGGAAGAACTGAGAGAAGCATTCAGTAAAATAGGTGTGTTTTCTAGACATAAGAAAATAATCTGCATGCCATGAACAATATGAAGTTATACAGTTTCTTTAAAAATATCTTACTGGGATGGTATAACATTAACCATTGAATGTTGAATGTTTAATAATACCATAGTCCCTTACATGTGTTGCTAATAACCCCTAAGAAGTTAGGAAAATGAAGGAATTTTCACTATTTCTATTTATTTACTTTTTAGCACTAGCCCATTGCCATAATGTTAAAGGTTTAAACATAACTGGGAAATGTTGAAATTAAAATAAAATTCTATTTTAGCTGATCTAAATAAGATGCTTGAAAACTTTTATTTTAGTATAAGGTTTTGGGCCTAATACCAACTGACAATTTCCTTTTTCTTTTGCTTACATGTTTTAGTGCCGGAGTGGGCAAATTCCAGCCTGCGGGCTTGATCCGGTTTGTAGGGTTAGTTAGACCCCCCCACCGCTATGTTGACTTGTGCTTTTGCAGGTATCGGAGGATTGCAGCTCGTGTTGGCAGCGACTTGCTGTTTGCAGCCAATGTGAGTGGCAGGAAGTGGTGTCCTGGTCTACGTTGCCTCCTGCCGTTTGCATTGGTAGTGAATGGCAATCCGCGGCCAATGAGAGCTGCGATTGTCCAATAATTGCAAAAACGGCAGCAGCCTGACAGGGACCCACCCAGGCAAGCTGCTGCTTTTTTATTGCCCACCCGTTTCAGTGGATTAATAACTATTTCTCCTGCACCAAGTTAAATTTAATTTACATTTCTAAGTAACCTGAGCTTTGTGATCCTTGATCTTGTCTACTGTAGAGAATAAGTCATGTTAATAAATAACTAAATATAATTTCATGTGCTTAACAAGGTCTCTGCAGGTAAAGGCTATGGCTACAATAGAGCTTCGGTTGCTATAACTTATGATGCTCAGTGGTGTGAATAAGCCATCTCTCTGAATGACAAGTTACACCAAACTAAGCACCAGTGCGGAAAGCACTACGTTGGCTGGAGAGTTTCTCCCACTGACATAGCTATGCAGGCACTGAAGTAATTAAGTCCTCAGGAGAGCTCTCTCCTATTTACTAAGCGTCTCTATTAGCAATGCTGTGGTGGTGCAGCTGTGCCACTGTAAGTTCTTTAGTGTAGCCATAGCCTAAAATTAGACAAGAATATGAAGTCACTTTGTACTGTATTATCTGATTCTCAACTCCACACTGAAATGTCTTTATGAACATTTAAGTTTGTCTCTCTCACTTTTTTTGTTCTTCCTAATAAATATTTTGGATACTCAGGGTAGGCATCTCTTATTCAGAGTCACGGTAAATAGGTCTGAAATGATCCTGGCTAATAGATATATGGCTAAGTCTGAGGCTTTTCATACCCACATAGCTCCACAGAGATACATACATCCTCATTGTAACTGCAGGCAACTTTAATAAGGTTCTAAAGCAGGGGTGGGCAAAACGGCCTCCAAAGGCTGGATCCTGCTCACAGAGGCCCTGCTGCTCCCCTGCCCCAAGCCAATTAAGGCCTGGGGGCGGAGGGAGCGTGCAAAGTTTTCTTCTCCCTGTCGGGAGCATGTGGTGCTTGGAAGCGCTAGGTGCTCCTGAAAGGGCTGGAGGAGGCTTTGCACGCTCCCCCACCCCCAGGCCAATCAGGGTCTGTGGATGGAGGAACACACGAAGTTTCCTTTGCCCTGGCCCCACCCTGTGAGGCGTACACGGCACTTAGAAGTGCTGTGCACTCCCGACAGGGCGGGAGAAGACTTTGTGTGCTCCCTCGCCCCCAGGTCCTGATTGGCCTGGGGTCAGGGAAGCACATAAAGCCTCCTCCCGCCCTTCCAGGAGCACGTGGTACTTTTAAGTGCCATGCAGGGAAGGGACAGAGTGAAGGGAACTTCATGTGCTCCCCCACCCCCAAACCCTGATTGTCCTGGGGGCGGAGAAGAGTGAGATGTCTCCTCCAGCCAGGGGCATGGGCACCTAGGAGGAAGGGGTGGGGGTTGGCAAAGCCCCACCCCCAGACCATGATTCATCTGGAGGTGGGGGAGTGCAACATGGAAGTATCCCAGCCCACCCCTTCCGCTCGAGGTCCTGCCTCTTCCGGTGTGGCCTGGGGCCACTTCAGAAATTTTTGAAGTGGCCCCCAGCAAAAAATTTAATGCCCACCCCTATTCTAGAGCCAATGATTGATTGATTGATTGATTGATTGATAGATTCTTCCCTACTAATTCTAAACCAACCTGGTCCAGAATCCAAAATCAAGTAGAAAAAAGTTCACGCTGGAGCGAAAATTATTTAGGGCATTAGCAATCAAACAGCAGTTGAGAACTACGTATTGGGGTATTTGGGCCTTTCATCAAGATAGCTTCCATGATTTCTAAGAGTAGCCATGATCACAAAGCAGATGATTTTGTAGGGGTAGAAAAGTAAATCAATTCACAGAACACAACAAATATGCCCAAATCTAGTGGCGAGGGATCAACCACATAAGTCTAAAGGAAACTGGGCTCCAGTTTAGAAACAACTGATTAAGGAACACCCAAGGACCAAGTGGGTAGTCCAGACTTTCTTCCTATCCCTTTTCCCCCATGACTCTTCTCCCCTTCCTTCCCCCACAGTTTTCATACTTTCCCTCCCTGCCTTGACAGTGTTGTTTTCCCCCATTAGTTATAAATTATTCTTTCAGTTGATTTTACAATTTAATATTAAAATTGTTTAAATTGTTGTTGCAGGTATATGTTATGCTGTATTGTATGTTACAGATAGCAATTTTAAGATTTTAGGGGTGTTTTTTTGTCTTGTATTGATTTTGGCCAATGGATACATTTAATGAAAGATCCAGTAACCAAAATCCCCTGATTTTTTTTTCTCTCTTCCTGCATGCTGCCTTGGAGAAATTCTCTACTAAGAAGTCTTTCACTTCATGGAGGAAAAAGAAGTTCTCCCTCTTTATTGAGCTTTGTCTTAAGGACATTTTGACAGGATAACTATTCAAACTGCTAAGCTAGCACTTAGTATACTAAAAAGATTGACATTCTTTCCATGGAGTTGAGTGTATGAGCCCTGCAACTTAACGCCATGCAATATTTATTAATTGATATTTTGAATAAATAATGCATTGAGGAAACAATGCCCACCAGCAAAACAATTTACTGCATGTCAGGAAAGTGCTGTGACTAGCAGCATATAAATTTTGCTTATGTAACAGTGTGCTTGGTTTAAATTATAAAATATACTTTAATGCATAGAAAATCTTCCGGTACTTTGTTGTAGCATATTCAAAAGGGCTTTCAACGCACAGCGTCCACCGGAAGTAGGGCAAGAGGATGCCCCTGTACAGATCCCTCAAAACAAAGCGAGCTAACAGGCTAAACAAGGTCATTTGTAATATAACAGACATGGGCCAGAGTGGATTTATTCTTCAGTGATCAGCCTCACCATTGTCATTAGAAATAAACAGCTGATTATTAGAATAATGACAAATATAGAGGTCCAACTTCAGCCCTAGTGCGGCTGATTGCTGTCTCTTTTGAAATCGTTTACATGAAGATTGAATTTAGGCCATAAACCATTACTGTATGCAAATGACATTTTGTATGTAAGAAGACTTAATAACAGACCATCCACTCTATTTGGAAGCTGATAAAGGTTTTTGGCATAGTCTCAGATTATAAATTAAACTGATCAAAATTCAAAGTTTTTGCTATCAATAAAAATTTGTGACTGTGCTATGTCTTTACAATGAAAATTTAAGAAGGTGCCTAAGAAGTATATAATATAATTGGGCTCTGGCTTCTAGGCACTAGCACAATACAAATAATGACTTAAATTCTATGGACCAGATCTTCAATTGGTATAAATCAGCATAGTGTATTGATTTTGCCTAATGGTAATTTATACTAGCTGAGGATCTAATCCATATGAATTCCTTTGCTTGCTAGTATATAATGTAAAATAGATTCTCAGAAAGAGATGTCGTGCTGGTGAGCCACTGCTACTATGTTTACTCATTTCTCCACAGGTCTGGGCAATTGCAGCTCCCATTGGCCAGGAACAGTGATCCATGGCCAGTGGGAGCAGCGATCACCTGTACCTGCAGAGGCACAGGTAAATATCGTGGTGTGAGGCCTGCCAGGAGCTGACCCTGGCAGAACGGATCCGGCCCACAGGCTGATATTTGCCCACCCCTGTACTAGATGGTAATCTAATTTATCATGTTCTCATCATTTTAGGCCATGTGTTCTAATGTGTTCCTTCCCCTTGATTGTTGCTTGGTACTTGTGTTATAGCAAAAAATAATTTTAAAAAACCCCCAATGTTTTCACTTTACAGATATTGACAATAGTGGATATGTCAGTGATTATGAGCTTCAAGATCTTTTTAAAGAAGCAAGCCTCCCCTTGCCTGGCTACAAAGTGCGAGAGATTGTAGAAAAAATTATAGCAGTAACAGATAGCAACAAAGATGGGAAAATCGACTTTGAAGAATTTGTATCAGTAAGTAAGACAGTCCTCTCATGCTATCCAGAATTATTTGGATTTGGTACTAGAAGCCTGTACATGCAGTATACGATTGTGATGGCATTCCCAGGATGTAGCATGGGACTGGGACCACTGTGATCCCATAATTCTCCAATCTGGGCTGTTTATCGCAGTGTTTTGCTAGTGACATGCAGCAAACCCCTCGAGGCACTGTTATCACTTAGCACAACAGAATGTGGAGCCCAACACCCAGCTAGATTGCATGAATACTCCCAAAATGCCACTGATGAGTCTCACACAGACAAGCACTACCCACATCTCTTTGGCTCCCAGCTGGGTGTATCAAGAATATATTGTCTTGCACTGCTTAAGACAAACAGTGCAAACTTATTAATTGGTTCACCACTTCATCAAAAGGAAAATGGCTATACACCAACCTTTGTAAACTTGAGCAAATTTACCAAGGTAAACAGTAAAAAAAAGTTTATTGATTATAAGTGATGGGCAAAAAGCCAGAGTTGTTACAAAAATAACATGTAAGCATGTAGTCTAAATTCTCAAGCCTATTAGACTGGACAACAACTAGATTAAGCAGTTTTTCTCACTCCTCTGGATATTGCAGTTCAAATATAACAAGTTTCACTCCTGATACCTGAGCCTGTCTTGTCTATTGCAGTTTACAGTCTTCTGAGCATTTTTGTTGCTTACAGTATAGGTTGGGTCAAGAGAAACTTTCTAGCCAATAGGAGCTGAGAAATTATGCTGGAGGCAGGGGCAGCCAATGAAGCCTCCTCCCTTCCTCCACACTTCCTGGAGCTGAGCAATGTGGAGCAGTCTATGACTGCAGCTCAGGTTCTTGCAGGGCTGCTGACTGGGAGCCGCCTAGGTAAGCTTCTCCCAGCCAGAACCTGCCTCTGGCACTCCCCTCGTATTGTATTACCAGAGTACAGGATCTGCCGAAAAAGCTCCCCGCTGTCAGCAGAGCCGCGGCTACACTTTACTTTCACTTTCGACACTGAGCCTGATCGGCACAGCGTCGGAACATGAGTATGCAAATGAAGCCCATAAGAACGTAAGAACATAAGAACGGCCATACTGGATCAGACCAAAGGTCCATCTAGCCCAGTATCCTGTCTGCCGACAATGGCCAGCACCAGGTGCCCCAGAGAGGGTGGACCGAAGACAATGATCAAGCGATTTGTCTCCTGCCATCCCTCTCCAGCCTCTGACAAACAGAGGCCAAGGACACCATTTTATCCCCTGGCTAATAGCCTTTTATGGACCTAACCTCCATGAAATTATCTAGCTTCTCTTTAAACAATTATAGTCCTAGTCTTCACAGCCTCCTCTGGCAAGGAGTTCCACATGTTGACTACACGCTGTGTGAAGAACTTTCTTTTATTAGTTTTAAACCTGCTCCCCATTAATTTCATTTGGTGTCCTCTAGTTCTTCTATTTACGGAACTAATAAATAACTTTTCTTTATCAGCCCTCTCCACACCACTCATGATTTTATATACCTTTATCATATCCCCCCTCAGTCTCCTCTTTTCTAAACTGAAAAGTCCCAATCGCTTTAACCTCTCCTCATATGGGACCTGTTCCAAACCCCTAATCATTTTAGTTGCCCTTTTCTGAACCCTTTCCAAGGCCAAAATATCTTTTTTGAGGTGAGGAGACTACATTTGTACACAGTATATTTAAATCCCGGGCTCATTTGCACTTCCGAAGTGCTTGATTTACATCCCTCTGTTGGCAGAGGGGTGCAGGCTAGACACAGCCTTTCTGACTCTAAATTCGCTCTTCAGTTTCAATTAGATAAAATATTATTTGCATCTGATCATATAGATTGCTGTACTCACATTACAAAAATGTGAGAACTGAGAGCTAGTTCTGGTGAGTCTCCTTTTCTGCTGACTTAGAGGAAGCAGTCTGTGCTGTTCCCTTTACCTTCAAGAACTATCAGTTCTTACAAGCAACCAATCCTTTTTGCTGTGAATCTACAGTATTGCAGCTGCTTATATGACTAAAACAAGCAATTTGTTACAATTTGCTGGCATATGTTGGCAATTCTACTGGAAATTCTAATTTACTCAGGTTCATAACTAAATCATAAACACGTGTCAATATTGCAGCTCACTTAACATATAACTTCACAACCAACCTTGAAATCCCTATAACATGAAGACACAGCAGATAAATATAGGAAAGACTATCAGTTTTATCTGACAATTTCCTTATTTTTCTGGGAGGGTGAGTCATGTATTTAATGTTAGTGCTGCAGTTGGTACATCTCTCCATACATAAGTCATAAAATACTAATAACATGCATCTCTGTAAGGGCTTGTCTGTGCTACAGATAAGAGCTAAGCAGACACAGTTCATCTTCCAGAGTTTGAATTCGTGGGTCTAGTGAAGACACACTAATTCGAACTGAGGGCACTCTCATCAGGGCCAGTAGTCCTGCTCCTACAAGGAGTAAGGGAAGTCAACAGGAATATGTGCTCCCTTGACCTCCTGCTGTGTGGACGGTGCCAAGATGCAATTTAAGATACAGGCAGTCCCCAGGTTACGTACAAGATAGGGACTGTAGGTTTGTTCTTAAGTTGAATTTGTATGTAAGTCGGAACTGGCGTCCAGATTCAGCCGCTGCTGAAACTGACCAGCGGCTGAGTACAGGAAGCCCGAGGCAGAGTTGCTCTACCCCGGGCTTCCTGGAATCAGCTGCTGATCCGGTTCCGCCGCA